ACGCCATAAGATTTTTAGAAAAAAGTCGATAAATTGCTAGTCTTTACTCAAACAAGTCTACGGCAATACAAATAATACTTGCGATAAAGGAGAACGCTAAAAAAAGAAGAAATCATGTTTTCACAGGACGCTTTTTCATTATAAGAACGATTTCCTACTCATTTATGTTTCCTTCCAATAGATCCTATGGATGCCACACAAATTTATAAAAAGTGCTTTGTTATGATCGTCACCATGGTAACGTAAACGAATTATTAAACCAATTAAATTGTCTTGAGGATTTTGTAAGAATCCCGTAAATTCGTAATTTGACGAAATCATAAATCAGAAGAGAATATGACATAAAGCATGGTTGTTCTCAACTGTAAAATGCTCACTACATCAAATCTTAGAACGGATTTCATTCAATACATAATTTGTTTTTAATCTGTGAAATTCCTTCTCTTCATGCCAAATATTGCGCGATAGCTTATCCAATAGATCCTTTTGTGGAACCTTTAAAAAAGTTGGTTTTAGAACGCGTCTGCTGACAAATGTAATATCAAACGAAGTCCGTGTTAGCATATATTGACTTGTACTTCGCTTTTTCAGTTTGGGAAATTATAAGGAGTATCGCAAAAATATGCATTTTCCAAAAAAATTTTCAATCAGGATTATAAAATGCAAACTATCCCCTAAACTAACTAGAATTACAATCAAAGAACTTTGATTCGTCTTTCTGTTTCCTACTTTTTCCATATGTTAAAAAGTTACCATTTCATCAAAACAAACTGTTTCAAAAAAATTCAAGCAGCGCTCTGTGCTGTGACAATCCCAGAGAAGTCAGTACATTATTTGAGGCGAACTTAGCGGAAAGAGAGCGGTTATCAATTTAGTCAGAACCCCGAACAGAAATCACGTTAGCAAGCGCCATGAAATGTAAATGGTGAGTGATCACTCGCTGATCACCAATTTTTTATTTCCGATTCTTTTCAAAGCCTCTTCCATTTCAGCTTACTAGCTTGAGTTAAATTTTCACTGATAAATGTCTTGAAT